TTGGCAAGACGTCCGCCACATCAACATCCTGAAAGACGTTCTTCCGCTCCCTCTGCTAGGCGTGCCAGGAAGCGGAGCAACACATCTTCCAGTGACGCTCCAAAAGTCGTGGCCACCCTCGCCCCGTCTACTTCTCATTCGGACTTATTGATACACATCCGGCCTGTTGAGCCTACGACGAAGTCGTATGCGGACGTAGCGAAGGGGAAAGCGACCTTGGCCTCGTGTGGCCAAGGTCCAGCCACATGTGTCACCAAGACAGACTAAGTCTTTGAACAAACCTGAGCTTCCATCTTATCAGCCACAAATGAAGATAATTCTCAACAGAATTTCTGAGCTGGAAAAAGTGATAAAGGAAAATCCATCATCCCGTAAGCCACCAATTCCAGAGCGCATTCAGCCATCTCGTGACCGCTGTCTCATCATCGTGAACGCGGCGGAATCGGACAAGGCTACCTCGGCAAAGCGAATGTTGGATGATCAAATACTGGTCGAGCGGATGATTTCCCTACTGTTTGATGCAGGCGAACAGGGAATAAACATTGTCTGCCTTCCGTCTCGGTAAGAAGCAGGAAACTTCCTCCAAAGTTCGACCCCTCAAGATTGTATGCGGAAACGAAAAAGAGTGCGCGCGCATCCTTCGACGGACTCCACGTCTCAAAGGCGAACCTTTCTACGTGTTACGAGACCTCTCTCCCGAGGACCGAATTAAAATGAAGAAGGCTGTAGAGGAGCTACGAACGCGCCGGGCGAGTGGTGAAACCGACCTACATATCGTGGATTTTTGCGTAGTTCGGAAGAGCACAAGAGTGCGCTGGTGGCCGATTCTTGTCACCCCCAGACAGTAAAGCATAAAAACGGACTACGCGTGCTATCTGCCAATGTACGCAGTCTAAGGAAGAAACTGGACGAAATTCAGTTGCTTACTTCGGAGACTCGTCCAGACTTGATGGCCTTCACCGAAACCTGGCTATTCTCAGATATCTCGGACTCGGAAGTGTCTATCCCTGGATATCACCACTCCCGTTCCGATCGCCGCGGGATGAGGTCAGGTGGTGGAGCAACTCTCTACTGGAAGACAGATCTCAAGTACATTTAGTTGAAGCTATCAGTGACCAGGATGACAATTTCGAAGCCCTCTGGTGCCGTGTTCATAACCGATGCAGGTCTCTTTTGGTCGGTGTCGTCTACAGAGCGCCATCGGGTCCCGGAGCGCGCTTCTTGGGCTCGATAAGGATGTATGGTGGGCACAAAGATTGTCTAATCTTGGGGGATTTCAATGCACCGGATATCGATTGGGACCTACTTCTTTGTGATCGCCGATCTGACTCCTTCGATGCCACATTGCTTAAAACCGCTCTCGACTGCAGTCTCGTTCAACATGTCTTGACGCCTACTCGTACCAGACCCCGCACATCCTAGATCTCGTGCTCTCCCCGGCCGATTCGTATGTCACGAACCTAACCGTTCTTCAACCCACAGGCAAGAGCGATCATTGTGTTGTTTCATTCCACTGGACTCGCGATCCATAGCCACAGTGGTCACCGACTGAATTTTTGGCGTGCTGATCCACTCCGTCTGAAAACGGCTGCAAGCACTACGGATTGGGGTATCCCTGAACACATTCACCTCGACAACGCGTGGAATCTTGTACTGTTCAAAATGACGTCGCTAATTGAGCAGGTCTTTCCCTCCTCCCATCGAAAGCCCTTCACTAGAGGTCTACCTTGGATGGATCGAGAATTGAGATCAGCTATGAATAGAAGGCGCAAATTATGGGACCGGTTTAGGCAATCTCATTCAGAACTCGACTTCTCTCACTACAAGACTGTCAGAAATGTTTGTGTCACGATGAAGCGTCAGAAATGTCAACAATGCGAACTATCCTTGGCACAACACTAGAATCACGTCTAAAATGCTCTACTTTTATTTGAAAAGAAGCACTAGAGCTGGTAATGACATCCCTGCTTTGTGTTCCTGTGATCAGCAAGCTTTACTTCACGAGGACGCTGAGAAAGCTAGTCACTTCGCTTAGCAATACGCTTCTGTTTACGCGAAAGAAACACCATTTAGTGACAGAGCCGTATCCACCTTTCCATCTTTGTTGGCCCAAGTTGATATTAACACTGATTCTGTGATGAAACTTCCTCTTGAGTTAGATCCATATAGCTCACCCGCCCCTGATGTATTGCATCCTTTGTTCCTCAGGACCGTGGCGGAGTACATAGCTTCACCCATATGTCAAGTCTTTCGTCGCTCACTAGAAGCTGGCCGTCTTCCTTCAGCTTAGAAAGTGGGTATCGTCAAACCCATTTACAAAGGAGGAAGTCGACATGATCCGGTCAATTATCGTCCAATCTGTTTGACGTCAATAGTGTGTACAGTTATGGAACGGATCCTAAAACAAGCTGTTACTCTTCATCTTGGGAGACAGAATGTCATTTCTTATGCCCAGCATGGGTTCCGAAAAGCACGCTCCTGTACCTCGAACTTGCTCGTTGCTAAGAAGACCTGGGCAAGGTCGCTAGACTCCGACAAACGCTTGGACGTTGTGTTTGTTGACTTCAGCAAAGCTTTTGACAAAGTGCCGCATGAACGGCTCTTGTTTAAGCTTCAAGGAACCGGTATTTCTGGGAACCTCCTGTCTTGGATCTCCGAATTCCTAAACGACCGCTCTATGCAAGTGAAGGTGAATGACACGTTTTCCGCTCCTGTTCTCACAGGGCTCGGTCCCGTACTTTTCACTATCTGCCTCAACGACTTACGGTCCTGTTATAATCTTCTCACTAGACGCAACTCCAAAAATAACAATTCACTGCTCCACAAAACTTCTAGCCCAACCGAAGGAAAAAAGCAGAACGCCAATGACCCTGACAAATAACGTATTAATCGCAGCCAACGAACACTGTACAACGACTGAGGACCCTGGCTGTATTTATAGGTCTCTGCTGACCTTCGACTTCTAGAATTGGAAGGTCAGCTGCCAAGGTTAGTGGTTCCCCATATCTTTTCCCGAGAGGTCAGGTGGATTTTGATCACGTGTAGAAGAAGAACATTCAGGAACGTTCGAAATCGATGCGATAATCGTTAATAATCGATTAATCGCTAAAATAGGGAATTTCCAAGGCAATTCTTACTTTCTCCCGGACACCTCCCCTCCTGAGATATGTTCCGAGGTGTAAGAGGAAAGCCTGGGATTAACTTGCAGTCTTCGGGACGGTGTTCTCTGCCTGTCGGTCCACCTCCTTGGCAGAAGCGCCCGAGAACTTTGTTCCGATGTTCTTGTTCTGGATTCGTTGCTCGATCTTGTGCAGTCGTCCACTGTTACCTTCGGCAGGTTGAAAGTTTCCACCAGTAAATCGAACGGGAGGTCAGTAGGCCTTTCTTGTTCTGGCTGGCACAATGTGGGACGTAACTGGTTTGCATGCCGTGGCCAGACCTGTGCGCCCACCTTCACGTCATACATGACGTTTCCGCGCTTGCTTTTGACCGTCCCTGGCGTCCATTTTGCATGGCCTTCCCGGTAGTCACGTACTAGCACCTTCTGTCCAAGCGTGAATGATCGCTTCTTTGCTCCATGCCGCCGGTTAAACTCCTGTTCCATTCTGCGGTTTCTTTCACCAACAGAGGACTCCGAGCCCGGTCGGATGGCGTCGAAAGGCATGCGGAGCTTCCGGTTCATCATAACCTGTGCTGGAGAGACTCCGTCTGGTGCTTGTGGATTCGGTGTTGATCGGTAGAGGAAAAGGAACCGGTCAACCACCTCCTCTATACGTCCCTCCCCTTTTGATTTTTGGAGGGCTCGCTTGAATGTATCGACAAATCTTTCTGCCTGGCCATTCGACTGTGGGTGAAACGGCGGCGAGCGAACGTGCTGGACGGCGCATTGCTTGCAAAACTCCTTAAACGCTGCTGAAGTAAACTGTGAGCCATTGTCAGTGACCATTGTCTCAGGACAGCCGAATCTGCTAAAGGCTTGGCGCAGTTTCGATATGGTGGCATTGGTGGTGGTGTTATCCATGAGAAATACTTCTGGCCACTTGCTGTATGAGTCGACTATAATGAGGAAACTTCTCCCGTTGATCGGCCCTGCAAAGTCGACATGAATGCGGCACCACGGCTTAGTAGCTATTGGCCATGAACAGAGTTCTGCTTTCGGTGGTGCTTTCAAGACATCGGCACACTTTTGGCAGCGTCTGGCTATTTCTTCCAACTGTTTGTCCATTAAGGGCCAGTATACATAACTGCGGGCAAGCGCCTTCATCCGGTTGATTCCAGGATGCCCGGCGTGGAACTGTCGAATAAGGCGCTCCTGAAGTGTCTTGGGGATGACCACTCTTTCCGAAAATAGTATGCAATCGTTTACAATAGAGAGTGAGTGTCTCCTCTGAAAATACTGTTGCAACTCGGCAGATGGACATGAACGTGGCCAACTTGTTTTGTGAAACTGAGTAACCTTCTTGAGTATTGGGTCCCGAAGTGTTTCGGTCCGTACAGCTTCTGCGGTAACTGGTAGACAGTGCAGTGCATCAGTTACCAGAAAGTTGACGTCTGGTTCAATCTCCACCGAGGCAATGATTGTGTCTTCATGTTCTTGCTGACGGGTATCAATTAGACGTGACAGTGCATCTGCTTGGCCAATGGAAACTGTCGACTGATATTGGATCTCGAAATCATACCCCATTAAGGTAAGAGCCCAACGTTGTAGCCTGTTGGCTGTGTAGGCCGGGATGCCCTTTTTCGAACCAAAGATAGCGAGCAAGGGTTTGTGATCTGTCAGGAGCTTGAAGCGGCGGCCGTATAGCATTTTGTGGAATTTCTTAACCGCGTACACTATGGCCAATGCTTCTTTCTCAATCTGACTGTAGTTCTTCTCGGCCTTGGTAAGGGTTCTGGCGGCATGGGCGATTGCTTTTTGAGATCCATCGGTGTACGTGTGTGCAATTACTGCACCAATCCCATGGCTTGATGCATCTGTGGTTAGGACGATCTCTTTGGAGGGATCGAAATGTGTCAAAAGCAAGTTTGAAGACAACAGTGACTTGACGCGTTCGAAGGCATTCTGACATTCTGCTGTCCAGTTCCAAGGTTGTCCTTTGGCTAGTAGCTTGTTTAACGGGGCACGCAAGCGGTGCATCTCAGGCAAAAATGCGCTGTAGTGGCTGATGAGCCCACAAAAGGAACGCAGAGACTGTAGATCTGTGGGTGGAGGCATTTTTCTAATGGCTTCGATGTTTTCCGGGTCTGGTCGACGTCCATCCTTTTCGAGGATAAACCCGAGGTATTTGATGAGCGGCGTGAAAAATGTGCATTTATCCTCACGGATCCGGAAGCCGTACGACTGTATGCAACCAAGCACTTCATCCAAGCGGTTGAAGAGTTCTTCCGGTGTTCGACCCATCACTATGATATCGTCCAGATATGCAGCGGTTCCAGAAACTCCCGCTAGCATGGTGTCCATCAACTGTTGAAAGATGGCTGGCGCCGTTTTCACACCAAATGGCAAGCGGTTGTATTGAAATAGCCCACGATGAGTGTTGATCGTCAACAACTCCCTCGAGACTTCGTCAACATCCACTTGCAGATAAGCATCGGATAGATCAAGCTTTGCAAAGTACTTACCACCATTCAGCTTTGCAAAGATATCCTCCGGTACAGGTAAGGGATACTGATGGTCGTCCAGCGCGGCGTTGAGGCCAGTTGAAAAATCAGCACAGACGCGTACCTTGCCATTTGCTTTCTTCACTGCGACAATAGGTGCGGCCCATGATGAGTAGTTTACGGCTGTGATGACCCCGGCACGTTCCAGTCGATCGAGCTCTTGCTCAACGGTTGACATGGCTGCATATGGTACCGGTCTTTTAGCCTTGAACACTGGTTTAGCACCTGGTCGCAAGTTCAGAGTTGCCTTGAATTTCGTACAGTGGCCCAAGCCATCCTGAAAGACAGAAGCAAATTTTCGCTTTAGGGTACGTGTCATGTCTTCAACGGACTTTGCAGATGGGTCTGGACTTGCTCGAACTCGGTTGCAGATCTGATTCAAGGGAACATCGAGGAGGTTCAACTTTTCAATCCAGTCGAGGCCAAGAAGATTCAAATTCGGCCGGTCTGAAATGTAGCATGTTCCCGACTTCTCCACACCTTGGAAAGCAATCTTGCAATTGAGTTCGCCCACTAAGTTTAACACACCGCCGGATGCATTATGTGCAACTTTCTGAGAGTCGACGATCTTCGGCCTCTTTATGTGATTCCATGTGCGCCTGGAAATGATGGTGATGTCTGAGGCCGTGTCAAATTGCAGTTTGGTTGGAATCCCATTGATCAACACAGTGATGAATCGTCGTCTCGGTTTACATTCGCTTTGGAATGCGGCAACTATGGAGAGAGACTCAGCGCCGCCCCTTCTAGAATTAACCTTTCGATAAGACTTCTGCACTTTCTTCGACCGGACTTGACTGCAGCATTCCTCCTTATGCCCACGCTTATGACACCTTTGACAAATATGATGCTTGAAGGGACAAAAGCGAGCGAAATGCCATTCGCCGCATGACCAACATGCAGTGGGTGGTTTCTTCGCAGGCCTCTTGAAGGATTTGCTTGCGTTGGCGGTCCTGGTCTTTTTCACGAGTTGCACGGTAGCTGCTGGTGCGAGGCCATTGCGTTCGACCATGGCAGTGTCGTGTTGTAGAGTGAGAAGCCGTTTGCATTCGCTTACGAGGGCCTTCAGTGTCAGATCAGGATCCTGCTCCAGCTTAGCTAAAAGCCGCGTGCGAATCTCAGCATCACTGGGCGATTGTAGAGCACTGACGAAAATGAGACACTTAAACTGATCGTCCGTTAAAGAGCGTAGTTTGAATCGTTCACACTCACGGTTAATCATGTCTGCTAAGGCCCCAAAATCGTCAGATTCCTGTTTGACAATTTTCAGGCATTGATAGCGAATACTAAACAAGGACACCGACTCACCAAAAATTTCCTTCAACTGCGACACTGCTTCGTCAAATGTCAGATCCTTCGGCTGTTTGGGCAAAATGTGGTCAATGAACCTTGAATGTTCACTTATTCCGAGCTTGCGGAGTAGCAATCGCACTTTCCAGGAGTCGTCCTGACGGATGAAGTCCGTCTGGAACATGTCTTCCCAGCGTTTGAACCACGCTTCGAAAGTGCTTCCAGAATCCGCATCATAATGGAATTCAGTGATGGCGTTCGTGAGAAGATCAACAGAACTCGCCTGCGTGTCCCGCGTCGCTGCTCCAGTTGTCTGCAAACTCAAGCATTTTGTCAGATTTTCAATCATTTTCATTTGCGCCTCCATTTGAGCTTGCTGTTGAAAAAGCAGCTTTTGAAATTGTTCGGCAGAAAAATTCATCACATTTCCACTTTTCTCCGTCGCCATTTGTTATAATCTTCTCACTAGACGCAACTCCAAAAATCAAAAGGGGAGGGACGTATAGAGGAGGTGGTTGACCGGTTCCTTTTCCTCTACCGATCAACACCGAATCCACAAGCACCAGACGGAGTCTCTCCAGCACAGGTTATGATGACCGCTCTATGCAAGTGAAGGTGAATGACACGTTTTCCGCTCCTGTTCTCACAGGGCTCGGTCCCGTACTTTTCACTATCTGCATCAACGACTTACGGTCCACTCTTCAAACGGATTGCCTAATCTACGCTGATGACCTAAAGTTATGGATGGAGGTATCCAGCCTTGAAGACGCCGACAGGTTACAAACTACGCTCGATCTACTCCATGACTGGTCGATTTAGTGGCAGTTGCCCGTAAATCATAATAAATGCTCTGTTCTCCCCGTTGGCTCATCAAACCCATTTGGAACTTACCACATTGGTGGTTCCTTGCTCAGAAGCGCAACCCAAGAGAGGGACCTTGGAGTAATAGTGTCATCAGACCTCAAATCTATTCAAGACACCCAGCAGAGGGTCGCCGCGGCCTACAGGATGTTTCATTCTATATGTAGAGGGTTTTCTCT